GTTCATAAATCCCACGTTGGATCTTGCGTTCTTTACATTAAAAAAATACACCCTTTTTCTGAGCATGTTTCATAAATGAGGGCCACTATGGGGAGAGGTGGCACAATATCAAGAAAACAAGTGTGTCCAGAAAATCTTATTATATAAGATTTAAAATATTTTTAAATCTTAACTTTTGACAACAAGAACCGAAGATTTTTTTTTTTTAAACATGAATGTAATAACATACTGTATACTTCTAAAATTTCATAGTTTGTTGTATTATCTAAATAATATTGGCAGATTGTGACATTTGTTTAAAGATCTACAGCCTCAGTCCTGGATCTACAGCCTCATTCCGAGATCTACAGCCTCATTCCCGCTCTCATTATAGACTTCCTTGAGGTTTCTCACTTTCTTCCCACTTTTTTTGAGTGGTTCTTTCTCTTCTCCCTGTTTGCAGAGTTAATGTTTAAAGTGTAAATAAAACAGTAAAAAAGTAAAAACCATGTTGCACACAGAAGCACACACAGCTCTGAGGTGTTGGACATTTGAATGACATGCCGTGGATAGAGCGAAAGTGACCTCATTGTCCCTTGTCTCTCAATCAGTCTTACCACACAAGAAAAAGAGACAGGAGCATGCCCTGTGTGTATGTGTGTGTGTGTGTGTGTGTGTGTGTGTGTGTGTGTGTGTGTGTGTGTGTGTGTGTGTGCGTGTGTGCGTGTGTGTGTGCGTGTGCGTGTGTGTGTATTGGGTGTGTGTGTGCATGTGTTTGCATAACCCCTTCTGTTAAAACTGTGTATTTCCATAATTCTGTATTTTTACAAAACATTTCTGTTTATATGAACCTCTGTATATAAACATTATGAATATAATATATGTACAAAACTGGCTTCCCCTTCACCTTTGCAGTTGTTTGTTTTGACTTCACCAAGCGCTAAAACACTCTCTGCTCTCAGTTTGCTCCATGGTCCTCACACCGACACACAGATGTTCAGATGTAAACAACACAACTCCCACTGCACTCTGGGATCATTACAGGAGGTTCACGGCAGTCCAGGAGAGGAGGCAGCAGTCCAGGGAGGAGACAACAGTCCTGGAGGAGGGAGCAGTCCAGAGGAGGAAGCAGCAGTCCTCAGGAAGAGGCAGCAATTCCCCTGATTGCTGTTGCTGTGGGCAACAGCAGAAGAACTGAGCGCTCCTGTCTGGGAGTGCTCAGAGCTGGATTCTCCCGCTCTTTGCGCTTAAGCTTCATATGTTCCACAGCGTTAGCTTCATGCCGCTATATCAGCGGGAGTTGGTGGAGAAAGTCTTGTGGTGGGCTTGAACCATAGATCTATTATAATATCTGGATAGGGTATTACTAGCTTGGAGCTGGAGGACCCATGTGCTCCCTCACCTCAATCCTATTCATTGATCCAGAAAGAGTAAGGAGCTGGCAAACGTGTTTGTGGTGCTTATTGTGTCTGATTTGATGTAACATTTAATACTAAGTTGTGACCCGAAAACACAGTGCTATTGTAACGACCATCATAACACGTGCCCAAATTGTCTTGTGTAAAAGTTTGCCGTTGGTTTAATAAACTACCAAAAGTTAAGTTTGCTATCGGTTTCCAGTTAATATTTTCCACAACAGAATTCCCTGGTGGTGCAGAGTTTACAACTACAGATTATGAGACTGAAACAAAACACATTTTTATTAGACCTTGAAGGAAAACTAAACACCAAATAAACTTTTTATAACTCATAAACTGCATAAATATGTTTCTTATAGTGCTCTCTACATGTCCTGGTAATTTTTTTGAAATTTGAGTGCAAATTAGATAAAATCTCACTTTTGAGCTTTAAACCGTGTGTGTGGCGCCCTCTATACCTTTTTGGTGGCACTACATTTTAATTTTGTGCCTGGCCTCTCCATTGGCTCTGGAGTACTGTGTGATGTCAGTTGGTACTGTGTGACGTACGTCTCTCTGTGCCAGTGGTATAGGAGGGTCTTGGAGTGACGTTTATACTTTATACTTTTTCCGCGCCGGTCATGTGCCCGGGTGGCAAAACAGCATAGAAAGCAACCTGGATGCTAGAGAGTTAGCTATTTTTAAATGTTTGGATTGAGGTTTTACGAAATCAGATGGTCCATTCTTGTTGTGTGGTCGGTTGTACGGCCCGCTGGGGACAGATAAAGTTTTTTTTCTAATTATTTCGGAACAGAACAGAGAAAAACGGCCGCGGTAAAGTGGTTGCCCTTTTATGCTGTTACCTACGCTAAACGTAGAACGGGAAGCCGAGGGGTGAGGGGATAAACTGTATGAACAAATTTACTGCACACTTGGTCACTGTGATGATTAATTTGAAACAATACATTTTGGTTGCTCATCCCCATGGCTTCCTGTTCCACGTTTAGTAACACTATAAAGGGACAACCCGCTTTTAATGTGCGGACCACTTTACCACGACGGAGAAAAGCCAGGCCACTTTACCGCGGTGAAAAATGCGCCGAATGGATTTTCACCACGGACCCTTCTTGCGTGAACGGTCCCGGGTTTTCTATGAAGTAAGAATGAATGTCCGGTGCCAAGACAGAGGCGAGTCTGACTGAATTTGTTCAGTTCTGTCTTATATACTTATTTTTAGCTTGTCTATATACTGTATCTCCTCTGATCTTCTTGCGTTAAAGTGCTTGTATAAAGTGCTATTTGCCCACTGAGTCTTTTAAAAGTACTCGTCGCATCCGTGCTTCAGTATGTGCCGCTCTGTCTTTTTGCCACCAAGCGAGGGGCGCTGTGTAAACAAAGATCCTCCTATAAACCCATCCAAGTCTGACACACGCCCCAGTGGCGAGTTGGAGTATTGTGGCGACATCTAGAAATTTATTTGACAGCCCTTACTTCTGATATACAGTAATTCTTTGGCTTAGGTTCAGGTGTGTAGCTCTACAATTATCTTAGTGTGTAAACAAGGGTGGAATGAGACTTTCTGGTGTGTAAACTATTGCTTTAAGCAGAAATGACAACTGTCTGTTTTTTGTGTGTGACAAGCAAGCTGTCAATCACAGCCCAAACCACGCCCAACTTTAAGCCTCCCTTCTTGTCCCCTGGTCCTCCAAGGAACACAAGAGAGAACATTTTCAAATGTTCTTCTGGGCGGAGTAAGGCTGGGCGCAGGTGTTTAGTTGATCTTTAACGTCTCTTAAAAGAGGCTGGTGCCCATCCTTTCAAAGTAAATTCCCTTTTGTTTAACTAGGTCTCATTAAATTCATCCTCAGAATTCTGCACACACTTGTGAACGCAGGCATAACGCTATTCTATCCTAAAAGCTATCTTAGCATAGTAGTTTTAGATCCCCTACATTTATAATAACAATTCACACAATAAAGTTGGGCGACATGATGACTGAGTGGATAGCACTCTCCCTTCTCAGCGAGAAAGTCCTTAGTTCGAATCCCGTTCGAAACAGGGCCTTTCTGAGTGGAGTTTACATGTCCTCCCCGTGTCTGCATAGGTTTCCTCTGGGTGCTCCGGTTTCCCCTACCACTAAAAATATGTATAATAGTTCAGGGCGGATGAGTGTGTGGTTGTGAGTGCGACTGTGGACGTCGAATGGAAATTAACCCAAGGCTACATTAAGATTTACTGTCCCAACCAAATAAACAATAAATAGAACAACTGAGGAGTTTACTTTTACAAGTAAGCCAATACGAGCCATAGTGAATTAGAGCCAAACTTCACCATGAGCATTTCCCAATTAGGCTTCATTGAGCTAGTGTGTAATAATTGTCCATCTATATAAAAGCTATGCCTATACCCAAGGGACGAAATAGACAGAGGAAGATTGTGTTCCTGGACACAAGGTGGACAAATAGATAGATAGGTAGATAGATACTTTATTGATCATTTCACCCTGTAGGAGAAATTCAGGTGTGACAGCAGCAGAAAAACCCATCCTTATAAACACATTTGTACATCAATTATGAACATTTCTAACTAACTACCTTACAATAGTGCATATTTTTAACTCTTACAGGTTTGTTGTACAGTCTGACAACCAAAGGAACCAAGGATCTCTGAAAGACGCCTGTTGCTATGATTACTCCTCTGAGTTGCCATAGTGTCATACGGAGAGTGTCTGGAGTTACCCAGGATGCCCTGCATTATATTCAGATTCAGTTTATTTGCCATTTGCAGTAAAAACTAGAGCCCTCATCCTTCTCTCCAGCACAGCTCCCATGGAGTCCACACTTCTCCCCATCACAGAGACACATTTCCTGATCAGCCTGTTGAGCCGGTTACTGTCTCTCAAGGTCAGACTGCCGCTCCAACACGCGACCCCAAAGAAAACGGCACTAGCTACAACAGACTGGTCAAATATGAGCAACATCTGACTGCTCACATTAAAGGACCTCAGACTTTTCAGGAAGAAGAGTCTGCCCTGACCTTTCTTATAGACAGCATTGGCCTGTGCTGACCAGTTCAGTCTGTAGTCCAGGTGGACTCCTAGGTATTTGTACAGTATGACTGTACCACTTTGATGTCCGAGACACTCACACGTTTGTCACGTGATCGGTTGTTTTGATACACACTCCAACGCAGTGTTTTAAAGCAGTCTGCTTCGGGAAGAGCCACACAAGCTCCGGAGCCTCGGTTTTGTTTTCCAATCACTACCTAGATACATCCCAGCTAACATCAGGAAATTCTGGCACAAACGTGTAGCTCCGCTCCTTCTGTCTAAAAGCTCCTGCCTCAGTCCTGTTGTAGTATGATGTCAAAAGTCTTGTATATGAATTACTTTTGGTAATTTCTCAACTGAAACGTCATTCTTTACAATCGCATGGCTGTGATTGCAGCTGATGAAAAATACAACATATTCTCCTCTTCCCTCTAATGGCAGCTGAGAGTTACAAGCAGAAAGCACTGTTGACCTTAATTACTTTTTTCACAATATATTTCTCTATCTAAAAACATGAAAGGTAAAAGTAAACATTCTCATTATCTTTTTAATGATCAAAAACAAGTCTACGGTTATCAGATCCCATACAGCAGTCTCTTGACGGAGCAGAAGACCCCCGAGACACTGCACAGCACGCCCAACACCAACACGCACCAATCGATCACTTTCCCCCGTGTGGAGAGACCGTGCCACTGCAGCTGGAGGTGGAAGGCACAGGGGAGCACCAGGGTCATGGCTGCCCCAGTGACGCTGCCTGTGAGCCCCATGAGTAGAGAGAAGGAGGGCAGCAGGAGAGCCAGGAGCAGGGAGGAGAGCAGCAGGGAGCATCGGAGGAGGAGTACAGGTAAGGGCAGGGTGCCGGGTTTGGGACTGCTGCGATCTAGGAAAGAGAAGACAATCTCAAATTCAATGCATTTGTGTATGGCCCAAAATCTCAACAGCAGTTGTCGCAGAGGACAAAGTTCAAAGCTCATTCACCCTGAACTATTTCACATGTTTTTAGTGGTTGGGGGAAACTGGAGTACCCGGTGGAAACCTACGCAGTACAATAGAATGATTACTGTGATCGAAAGGACAGGTTCACTCTGAGCCCAGCGATGGACCCGCTGCAGTTTGCCTACCGGCCGGGCATCGGAGTTGAGGACGCCATCATCACCCTCCTCCACCACTCACTGTAACACCTAGAGAAACCCGGCTCCGCTGTGAGGATCTTCTTCTTTGATTTTTCCAGCGCCTTCAACACCATCTAGCCGAAGCTTCTCAAGGACAAGCTGGAAAAGGCTGGAGTGGACTACAACCTGTCCGAGTGGATCCTGGACTACCTTCCTAGACACACCCCAGTTTGTGAGAACCAGGGACTACGTGTCTGCGGTCCTGACCTGCAGTGTTGGGCCCCCCAGGGGACAGTCCTCACGCCGTTCCTCTTCACCCTCTACACTGCGAACAGAAGTTCTCTAATGACATCATCGAACTCAGCTCCGAGGACGATGACGCAGAGTACAGAGGAGTTATACAGGACTTTGTGGACTGGTGTCAGCGGAACCACCTCCTCATCAATGCGGGGAAGACCAAGGAGATGGTGGTGGATTTCCGCAGACGTCACTCAGTGAACATCCAGGAGGCTCAGGTCTTTTGGAGTGCAGGGGCCACTCGACTCTTCTATGACTTCTATGACTCTGTGGTGGCATCAGCCATCTTGTACGGTGTGGTCTGCTGGAGCAGCAGCAGCACACAGAGGGGCAGGAAGAAGCTGGACAAGGTCATCAGGAAGTCCAGCTCTGTCCTGGGCTGTTCCCTGGACACAGTGCAGCAGGTGGGGGACAGGAGGATCCTGAACAAATTAAGATGCTGGACCATGACTGCCACCCCCTGCATGACACTCTCTCTGCTCTGGAGAGCAGCTTCAGTGACAGACTAATTCATCCTCGCTGTGTGAAGGAGAGGTTTCGCAGGTCCTTCCTTCCTGCTGCTGTCGGGCTGTACAACGAGAATGTAAAACAAGAACTGCTGAGTCTGTACAGTGTCATTGATAATAATTCACTAGTAACTTTGTCACTAGTCACTTTACCTGTTATTATCATTACTGATTATATACTCACATCTGTAAATACTCCTGAACCAAGTGCAATTATAGCTCCAGAGTTTATTTTATTTTGTTTTATTTTATTTTATTCTTTATCTTATTTTAATTATATGGTCTATTATCTTAAATAGGGTTAGGGTTAAAATAGACTATTTAATGTGTGCAATCTGAGTGATTTTATTTCCTTCTTTCCCTGCTGTAAGGTGCGCAACGATGACACTGAAATTTATCCACTGCTGTAAACCCTAACTTCAATCTTACTTCAGATATCAAAGTTATTTTAAATAGATTTTTCCCAATAAGTAAATATCACTCATTTATTGTTAGTTTATTTAAATATTGGCTATATCACTCAAGGTGGTTCTAAGTACGAATCCCAGTCGGAGCGTAAGTTGAAATTTACACTTTATTGCAATCACTTGAGTTTACTTGGTAATATCAATTAACGGATGTACTCGAGGAATTCAAGTGAAATTAATGTGCAATTTATTTAGAAAGTTTTTTCAAGTAAACTTTACTTGTCAGGGTTTACAGTGTGTGAGACGAATAAAGGAAGATCTTATCTTATGAAGCAGAAGCGCTGCGCCACCTTCAGGACAAGAGGGCAGGGCAAGTAATCAAACTACAGGAAGTTAAACAATGGAAGACACAGGGATACACTAGTTACATTATAAAACAGGAAATAAACCGAAACCATGACACAGGCTGTAGATTCAGGACTGAGGCCGTAGACCCAGGACTGAGGCAGTGCGGTGCTGAAGAGGCTGTCAGGCGGGGAGGGGAGTACAGCCGAAAACTCCTGGCAGGGCAGACCAGTTCACAAGTGCAGGTAAAAGAGGCCAAATTCAGGGGTCCTTCATCACGCCATGAAACAGATACTGGGACAGTAAGAAGTTTTGCCTTGTTTTACTCTGACACAAAAACACTGTGAGGTCCAAAAAAAAACTGTATAAAACTACTTTATGATTATAAGTGGAGTTTGCATGTTCTCCCTGTGTCTGCGTTGTCTCCTCCTGGTGTAGCACAAGCCCCCCCCCCCGTCTGGAAAAAGTCACTGACTGCATCTTTAACCAAAAGCCAAAAGTTGAACGCCGACCAAAATGAGTAAGACACACCTGAAATTAGAATTTGATTTCGCACAATTTCTTTATGTGTTGCATAACGTCTTTACGTCACAGATCCTATAGTGCCCTGCACTTCACAGTGCTAATAAACCACTGGTGTTTGCAAGTTAGACAGTGTGCGGGTGTCATCCTTTCTTTCATGTTTGGCCACCTTGTGCGCGCCCACTCCTACGCACCTGTCATAGAAGAGATGTGCGAAGTCTACCTCTTTTAACAAATACTAACTGTAAAAATGTTTTGCAGACAAAGCTCCGTAGACTGTACATAGCTCACAATGAAAGACAACACTGGAAGCACTAGGCAAGCGCAACAGAAAAATGGGGTAATTAAGAAGTGTCAAAAGTGTCCAAAGTGTGGGAAAACTTTACACTAAAATCAAAGAAAAATGCAGTGCAAACATTGCTCAATTACTATTAATATTTGGTTTATTTTGAGAAAAAACCAAAACAGCCTCACTTACCATAATAGCAGCGATGGCCGAATAAAAGCCCCGTAACACACTGAGGCTTTCCTTGCCAGACTGTTTCAAATGTGTCAATAGCCCTGTGTCGATAGCTCCAAATAGCTTGTAACACTTACATCTAGTGGACAAAGGTATTAATTGTTGTTGTTCAAAATTGAGCTCCTTCTATAAATAGCCGAGCCCAGGCCTGCACTGCCACTTTGAACTCTAGTGCCGAGAGATCAACTTCGACTTTGGAATTCAACTTGGACTTCACCGTTGGACTTCGCCATTGGACTTAGCCATGTCTTTGCCATCGTCTTCTCGTTTGAAGACCCCTGCTGGCATCGGACGCAAGAAGGGTGGCAACTGTGCGCCAACTGCGTGGCAGATCTAGTTCCTCTGGATCAGAGCGACCGCTGTTTCTTTTGGCTCGGCTGGAGCCACTCGGCTACCAGCGCTTCCTGCCAAGCGTGCCTCTCTCTCCCCAGGGAGGAGAGGGAGTGCCGCGGTGCATTCATGGATACTACAGCTGTCCGCTCGAACTCTGCTCAGGAAGTGAAGTCCCCGGAGCCCCTTGCGGAAGGTAGTCCGTCTCCCGCACCCCGTAAGAACTGGAGAGACTACGACATCGAGGATGACCCCAGTGATGGAGAGAGTTTGCTCATCACCTGGATCGAGAAGCAGGACCGCTTCCTGCTCTGCCCTGTAGTTCTCAAGGAGGCCACCCCTGTTCCAGGGGACGTGCTTCAGCAGGAGGTCTCCTCTCTGCTACAGCGCCCCGCGACACCTCCAGGGGCCTTTACTCCCCGTATTTCTTGGTTCCCAAGAAGAATGGCGGGTTGCGCCCCATCTTGGATCTATGCCCACTAAATGAGTGCATATCCAAGCGTGCATTCCACCTGCTCTCCAGCAGGCAGTTCCTTGACTGAGTCAGACCTCAGACTGGATCCCTCCATAGATCTGACAGACGCATACTTCCATAATGTGATAGTGCCAGAACACAGGAGGTTCCTGCGCTTCACAGTAGGGAGGGAAATGCTACGAGTATTGCCGCCTCCGGTTCTGGTACGCGCTGGCTCTTCGCACATTCTCCAAATGAGTTGAAGCGGCGCTGGAGCTGCTGCGGCGCCGGGGAGTCAGAATCCTTACCTACATCGACGATATGCTGATTCTGGCTCCCTCCAGGGAGAAGGCCACGGCACACATGCACTTGGTCCTGACCCACATTCACCTCTTGGGCTTTAACATGCACAACGCATAAATTACCTCGGTCTACAACTGGACCCGGTCCGGTTCCGTGCCGCGCTCTCCACAGAAATGCGCGAGAGCGGCGGACGCCTGGCCAGGGAGACCTTGACCACTCTCACTCTCAGGGTCAAGGTCTCCCTGGTCATGTGCTGAATCCATCATTTCATTGCAGCTGGGCCTTCTTCACGTGAGGGGGTTTCAGCGCTGGTTTTTGCGCCTCAGGCTCCATCCCTCAAAGGAAGAATGGAAGTTGCTTCGGATCTCCCCAACCACTGCGACCGACATCAGGTTCTGGCTCACCCCAGGCATATTACGAGACGGGGTTCCTTTGGAGGGTCCCCTATTGCATGTGGAAGTGTTTACAGATGCCTCCCTGGAAGGATGGGGCGGGGTCCTCAGTCAGAGTTCCGTAGGTGGATACTGGACGGACTCAGCCCGACACATCAACCTATTAGAGAGGAAGGCAGTGCGCAGTGTGCTCCTTTACTTTGCCCCGCAACTGAAAGGGAAGCATGTGATGGTGCATTCAGACAACACAACAGTGGTAGCCTATCTGAACAAACAGGGAAGTACGAGGTCCCCCTCCCTCCACCAACTGGCAGCGACCATTCTGCTCTGGGCTTCAGTACACCTGGGTTCCCTAAGGGCGCGCCACGTGCCGGGCGCCCGCAACACAGGGGCAGTTAGAATGTCCAGAGGGGACCCATTCCGCGATAAGCGGGGTCTAGCTCTGACTGTGGCGACAGAGATCTGGTAGAAGTTCGGGCGACATCTCTCATTCACATTTGTACAAGCTTTGTACAATCTAAATATTCTCCATTTTGACCTGTGACATGGTTACTGGAGGAGCTTCCTTTTCAGTGTTTGTTTTGGTTTATTATAGTAACAGTGTTTCTTGTTAATAAGTAGTGACATGAGCCTATACGCCAGGGGTCCCCAAATGGCGGACCGCGGAGACCCAGGTCCGGACCCCGAGACCCTTTTCTGTGGACCTCCGTAATTCTTTTGTTTAGATGTACATTATTACAATTTTATGTTGAATTTTCACCAAAAACAATTTGTAAACAGGCAGGCGCGAGGGTGGCTATAGGCGTTCAGTGGGGTCCTTTGGAAAAAAACTTGATGGAGCCGTCAGATAAGTTTAGGGTCAGCACTAGATCATATACGGAATTGGGACGGAAGTGGAAGTAAATATAACCAACTACGTCTTCATGCCTAAACTAAACCAGCCATTTCCAAAGAATAACCCAACCCACCCTTTACCCTAACCTTAACCATCTAACTCAGGCACCTAAAACTTAACCAGTCACCATTTAAGGACTTATTAGTCTAAAACTAATTCGAAAGTAAGATTGTTACTTCCGGTTTTGTCCCGATTCCGTATATGATCTAGTGCCAACCATAACTTTAGCAGTGTCTGAATCTGAGTGAGTTAGAGACGAAGAAAGAGACGGGAATGAGCGCTGTGTGTGGAGGCAATGACAGTAACGTTATTTAATGGGAATGAAGGACTTCAACAAAAAAGTCTGCCAGATCCCCTTATCTTCCACAATTAACATGTGTTGCAGCCTCTGCTCTGAGAGTTTGGGAGAGGTTTGTGGTGTGTTGTGTAGAAATAAACAAAGGAGATTAATGGTAGGTGTGAATTATATACACCTATTGTTATATATTTTTAAAATCAATTCTTACTACTGTAGTCGTTGTTGTTAAAGGTTTTCAAATGTTTGCATATGAAATTGCTGGAATGGATTTCTATGAAATGAAATATTTGTACAATGTCCAGACCCTAGTCTATTGAACTGATTAAGTAAGTGGACCTCTTGCCAATTTAATCGGGGACCCCTGCTATACGCTATTATACTATAAATGCCCAAAACTCATCTCTCAACTCTAATAGCTCTATTACTGCTTCTTTCAAACATTATTCAAGATAGATTATACATATTTTTTCCAGGTATTTAATTTTACATGTTCTTTATACAGCAATTGTGTACACTACTCTCTTCCACTCTATTCTACTCTACTCCTTAATGTGTTCCCATTAGCCTTTCATATCTTAATTGAGTTAATTTCAATTCAACAAAATGTTATACAGCCCTAATTCACAGGAGTTATCTCTGAGTTATCTCGGAGGATCAGAGAATCAAACAGTTTCAAATACATGGAATGATTTTTTTTTTAAACACATAGAACCACTGGTTCAAAAGTGGCAAATGATCAATGGCCATAAATATTGATAATGTCCATAAAGAAACTACTAGACTTGCGTTGAGTAGAGTAGAAGAGAGTAGGGTATAGCAGAGTAGAATTGAGTAGAGTAGAAGTGAGTACAGTAGAGTACCTTTGAGGATCCATGTCTGCAGGATCTCGGCTGCAGAGTAGAAGGGGAGGGGGTAGGAGAGCAGAGTCTTGACCAACAGACACGTGTTGACCAGAGGTCGGAGGGCGGGGCTTAGGTTGTCTGTGATGACCTCACGCGTGTCACGACCCCAGGTCAAAGAGCACTGAGGAGAGAAGCATCATCTCTGGCATTCATCCTGACTGCTCTTTGCAAACAAATGACCTGGATCTTCCCAATGACCCCCAGAGCAAAGTTCATGTGAAAGTCAGGGTTCAGAGGTCAAGAGACTGAAACTTCAACAGTGAACAATCTTGAAGCCAATACCTGGCTCTTCCCTATATTTGTAGTAGTAGTAGTATCAGTAGCAGAAGTAGGTGTAGGAGTCATGGGAGTAGTAGTAGTAGTAGTAGTAGTAGTCAGTGTTGGACAAGTTACTTAAAAAACGTAATAAATTATGTAATAATTATTAATGAGATGTATTACTTGTTGCTGTAAAGCAGTAAAGAAAGGCAATACAAATCAAAAACTGAGTATTATTTGCTCGGTACAAAGGTCAGTAACGTGAGATACATTGCATCTTAACTCCGCCCCTACGTTCAGTGGTTGGTGTTCGCAAAAGAGCAGAGACATGCAGCCTATGGATAGATGAGAGTCTAAGCTCTGGTTTGATAATAAAGCGTCCAAAAAGAGTCAATATTAACAGAGATATGACCTCCTCAAGAGTCCTGTTTGAAACAGAGGCAGACACTTGTCAACGGGTGGAAAATACGTCTTTTAAAACAGCGGCAAGAACAGCTGCTGTGAACAAGTTCTGAGCAAGGACTGAACAAGGATTAACCAGTTTATCCCAAGTTTAACCAGAATAGTGACAACAAAATAAGAGTAAGTAACAACCTCTGCGATTATTAGACAGAAATTGATATACAATAATTGAACTTGAGATACCTACCACCACAATCACTGAAACCAATGAGCTGATATACACTTTGGCAGTAGTGATCCAAGAGATGCTTGGCTATAAGAACAACCATGGGAGCCATGGACAATACCCACCATGGAAAAGACAGTTGGAGGCTAAGATCAAGGCTGCTCAGAGAAAAGTGAGTCAATAAACAGAGGCCCAGAGAGGTGCAATGAAAAGACCGGTACCCAAAAAGTACAGCCAGATGACCATACCTGAAGCAATCGAAACTGCCAAACAAAGGCTCCAAGCCCTGGCCAGCTACCTACAAAGGTACACTAAAGAGAATGATGCCAGAACAGGCCGTTTGCAACACAACCTGCGAAGGTGTACGCTCAGTGGCAGGGAAACTGAACCGTTCTGGAAGAACATATGGGAGAAGGAAGCAGCACACAACAGCAGTGCACAATGGCTTATGTCCCTGAGAGAGGAGCATAGCCACCTCCCAGAACAGAACTCAGCTACCATCACAGAGGCAGATACTCGAGAAAGAGTCTCAGGTATGAAAAACTGGACAGCACCGGGCCCTGATATGGTCCATGCCTACTGGCTAAGAACGCTCACATCACTCAATGAGTGCCTAGCAGCACAAATGAACCAGCTGCTGAGAGATGAGACTCACCCAGAACTCACCCAGAACCGGCCTGATCATGAAGGACCCTGTGAGGGGTGCAATCCCCTCCAACTACCGGCCAATAACCTGTCTCTTCACAACATGTAAGCTCATGTCAGGCATCATTGCTACAATTCATGAGCAGAGCACAGAAGGGCATTTATAGAGACACCAGTAGTAATCCCAGCTCCTGGTTGACAGAACAGACACACCAACCTGTGCACAGCCTAGATTGATTACCAAAAGGCCTCAATGTCACACACACGGATCAGGGAATGCTTGAAGTTGTACAATATCAGCAGGGCTCTAAGGGACTTAATTGCAAACTCAATGGGGATGTGGTAGACCACCCTTGAGGCAAATGGCAAGCCTCTTGCACAAGTGATCATCAAATGTGGTATCTACCAAGGAGATGCTCTGTCCCCACTGTTGTTCTGCATAGGCCTGAACCATCTAAGCCAAATAATCGACCAGACTGGCTATGGATACCACCTCAGGAACAGAGAAAATCTCAGTCACCTCCTCTACATGGATGACATAAAGCTGTACGCCAAGAGCGAGAGAGACATCGACTCACTGATCTAAACCATAATAAATTAAATAAGTGTGGACTTATTGTGTGGACACTAAGTTGATAAATGTCCACACATGTACAAAGGACAGAAGAAAGCCGTAGTGGTGGATGTGGCACTTCCAAGCGATGGTAGCATCAGTAAAAGGAGCTGGAGAGGGTCTGGAGGGTAAAGGTGACAGTAGTCCCGTGGAGATCGGTGCATATGTATATATATATATACTGTGTATATATTTACTGTGTATATATATATATATATATATATATATATATATATATATATATATATATATATATATATATTTACAGTGCCTTGCAAAACTAAAAGTGGTAGGATTACGTCAACTTGAATGAAGTGTGTTATGGGTGTAAATATGTGACACGCTATTTGGCCCTAAGAGGAAGAAAGCGGCTCGACTTTTTTCATCTGTTCATCTCATGGATCTATTATAATACCGGTTCATCTGCGACACTTCACTGAGACTGTTCAGAACTACAGGGACAATGGAACTGGACTTACTCAAAAGCTGATCTGGAAACACGTTATTCCCACGGTAAAAGACGTAACTCGGACCCCCTCGATCTGTAAGTAGTGACGCTAACTCGTTGTATACTTCTGTAAACTAAATAACTAGGGTCTGATTGTGCATCGAGGACATAGGGCTCGATGTGACGGATTGTCATTGTTGGAAAAAGTTTATTCTTATGTAAGAAATTACTAAGTACAGGTGATAAACGACAAAAGCGTGATGCTACATCACCGTGCGGGCGGGGGGAGGCGGGCTCACAGGCAGAGGAGCAGACTCTTCTCTGGATCAGCCTGTTTGAGTCGAGGTGACGTCACCTCTATACAAGAGATGGCTCTAATCTCACAAGCTTTGATTGTTGTGTGGTGTATCATACACATTAATATCACACATGTGCATAGAATTGAGTGTGAAACATGAAGAAAAGCGTGATATAGGACCTTTAAACAGAACCCTGAGACTATCAAAGAGCAGGTGCATTTATACGGAGACTTGATTACACACAGGTGCATTCTATTTATCATCATCAGTCATTTAGGACTACATTGGATCATTCAAAGATCCTCACTGAACTTCTGGAGTGAGTTTGCTGCCCTGAAAGTAAAGGGGCCGAATAATATTGCACGCCCCACTTTTCAGTTTTTTAATTGTTAAAAAAGTTTAAATTATCCAACAAATTTCATTCCACTTCACGATTGTGTCCCACTTGTTGTTGATTCATGACGAAAAATTTAATTTTTATATCTTTATGTTTGAAGCCTGAAATGTGGCAAAATGTTGAAAGGTTCAAGGGAGCCGAATACTTTCGCAAGGCACTGTATGTATATGTATATATTTGGAGAAGGTTACATTGTTGTATTCAAAGCAAATAGAAATACTCTGTATCAATTAAATGTATGTTTTAGCTTTAGTCTGGACAGGGCTTGGGAAAACATAGAAGGACACCTACTTGAATGTACCCTTGGGTATAAGCACAAACTCCACTATCCCCAAAATGCAGAGGCTCATCTCAGTCCACTCCTTTCGCCTTTGAAATTCAGTCATTTTTAAGAATAAACCTTGTGTCTGGTCTGAGTCATGGGCATGCAGAATGGACGGAAATAGAAGATTGATTTCTGTAGAAGGGAAACAATAAAGTCAAGTGGGATGTTTGTTTGGATGGTACGGTTCCAGAGGCTTGTGAGTTCAGACTGAACATAAGTGGAATTGGTTGTTTTGTTATTAAATTCGACAAGAGAGGTAGTATGTTGTTCTCTCATCCCCTTTCCTTCTCGCCATGTCTAACAGCCTTCCAGATATCCCTAACATCTTCTGCAGGTGAGAGTCATTCCCACATTTAAAAGTGTTATTTTAACTGAATCAACATTTTCTGTCTTGACAACTATATTCTACGCTGTAGGAACCATTTTTGGAGTGTTCACATATACTACCAAGGGCAGGGGAGTTCAAACGAAAATGTACACTATATGGCCTCTCTGGTGTGGGCTATCTGACCCAAAGACCCAAACTATTGAGATCCTTAACACAAGTTCACAGAGTCATCCAGCCAAATTCAGCTTCACCAATATAGAGACAAGCAATACCTCAAGAAGCTCAGAACTACTGCAAGCCTTTCATTGACTTTATTGAGCAGAGTAGAATATTGAACAGAACAGTAAAGTAGAGCAGAGTAGTGTAGAGTACAGTATGAAGCAGTAGAGCAGAGTAGAGTAAAGTACAGTAGTGTAGAGTACAGTATGAAACAGTAGAGCAGAGTAGGGTTGATTAGAGTAGAGCCGAGTAGAGTACAGAATAGCAGAGTAGAGTAGAGTAGAGTAGAGTAGAGTAGAGTAGAGTAGAGTAGAGTAGAGTAGAGTAGAGTAGAGTAGAGTAGAGTAGAGTAGAGTAGAGTAGAGTAGAGTAGAGTAGAGTAGAGTAGAGTAGAGTAGAGTAGAGTAGAGTAGAGTAGAGTAGAGTAGAGTAGAGTCTTACCAGCAGAGCAAACAGAGTCTTCATGACACATGCAGCTCCGTGGGTCCAGTCCAACATTGCGTTGAACTGGCCCCTGTCCTCCATACTGCCCTCTAGTGACGGGAGGAAGATCTGGGACGTGTAGGAGAAGATGATCACCCCCACAGAAACCAGGAATTCCTCCGGGTCTACGGGCTCGGACAGAGATGACCAGAGCCAGGAGCGGGCCTGGCTGAGGCAGTATAGCATCACCAGAAAGCTACAGGGCACAGAGAGATAACTGCATTGGTCCACGGGTTATAGCCCATTACCAAAGGAACATAATACATATTGTAATCTCAATATTCATCCAGAACATCTTAAAACTGAGGTATAATTTATCATAATTTATTTATCTTTTCTTAAATCACACCATCATCCGAACAGAATTATGTTAAAGAATAATGCTCAGATCACATTTTTCTATTTACTGTATGTTAAATAATGTCTAACAAAGATCCCTTTCTGTCTGAAAAAGTTTATCCTAAGATGCTGAAAGTTAGGTACCCCAGCTTTAAAGAAGATTGGTTATTTTTTGTTCAAATTGTAAAGTGCCAAACAGTGGTCTTGTCTTTAAGCAAGACACTTCAGAATGTCTGGTGTGTGTGTGTGAATGGCTTTTTGTTGTGTGAGGGGCAGATGACACAGACTGGTTGCCTCGCTTCTGAGACATTAGGTGTCCAAAAACTTGCTCTATAAAACCCATGCATTATTTTATCCTTATTGATTTTGTAATTTGTCATCGGTAAACCAACAACTTTGTGAAATCATTCGAGATGATTCTACCAAAATAAATCTGATTTTGAGATATGGGTGTCACCTGATGAGTACGTGGGCCAGGGAGCAGAGCAGGCTTAGAGTGGACACAGGTCGGAGGTCCGGGAGCAGAAGGCAGGGCATCAGGAGTAGCAGGCTGAGCACAGAGCAGCCCAGCCTGGGAACAGCCCCCCACAGACTGTCGCTCAGCAGGGACATGGACACCACCACGTACAAGGTGCAGGTCATCAGCAACTCCAACAGCTGCAGAAACACAGGCAGAAGGGCAAGTCTATGTGTGTGTGTACAGTGTGTGTAGTGCGTATAGTGCGTATGCTTGTACAATGTGTTTGTTGGTGGAGACCCGTGTCCTAGAGAATACCATGTCCTAATGGTGCGTTCAGATCAAAAGCTTCAAAACGCTTTTGATGCACGTCAAGTCACGCCGGGTTATGGTGCGTTCACACCGCCGACGCTGGAACGCTGACGCCTCGCGCACCAGACGCATATTCTCTAATTTTCAGACTAGAAGTCCTGGCCTGCGGTGGCGTCCGCCGGAAGTGGCGGAAGTATACGGGCGGACTTTGATGCTATCAGAGTTAAGCTCGCGGCTTTTTGTGTAAAGTTCTTCTCCAATAAGGCAGCTCTGCAGCACACTGTGCATGTGTCTCTGTGAACGGGGAGTTCTGACCTGAGCCACATTGACCAGAGCTCCCCCCAGCGCAGGACAGCGAGGACACAGGCTTCGGCAGCAGGTTTCTGCGATGTCCTGATAACTGTGGCGAACTCTGACCCGTGGGCCTCCACTGGAAAACACAAAGAAAACTCTGATGAACACAAGATGACAGAGAGTAAATCTTTCTCTACTCAGAGAGTAAAACTTCAAACTACAATTGTTTGAAGCTGCAACATTATACAACCCAGTGTGCCCGGGCCAGCTGTAGCTACAGTGGTGGCCAAAAAAAAAAGCACTATATAAAACCAAAGCATTTTTATTTCTTATTAACACATATTTGACAGCATTAAAGCAGTTTTCGTCATCCAAACAGTGATGTACAAGAAGCTAAAGATTTTTTTGAGTCCGAATAGATCTTCAAATCCCTAACCTTCAAATCACAGCTACATGGGTAGTTAAATGGCTCAATTTTTTCCTATTTTACTATGTGGAAGAACTGAGTAAATATGAAACTTAACCACGTTAAAGATTAATATCATTCTATAAAGGGACACCTTGTTTGAAAAGACCCATCCAAATATATCCAATCTATCATATATCGCCAATATCAGTTATCTATCTCAAAAAGTATATATCTTTTAATTTCTTTAAATAGATAACTACTTTTGGATCGAAAGGATCTCTTATCTTATCTTTTTCCTGAGTCATAAAAGGTAAAGAAGAGTCCTCTTCGTTTTGTTCTCTCCTCTACTTTACTCAAATCTCTACTCTAGCACTGTTTAAAGGTCCTTCTTAGTCCCTCTGGCCCCTGGTTCTATCCAGGCCGGTACCAGATACGTAATGCATAATGGAAATTGCAAGAGCAGCCAGCACAGTGGGCGGTGATGTGCTGTATCCATAAAGCTCCAGAATCAATTGATTTGTCTTTGTTTTCTTGTGCTGTCACCAGAGAAAACCATTCAAACCATGACCCTAGACATCAGAGACTACATGTCTTGTTTCCTGCTATGTTTTAGATTTTACTTCAGTAGATAACTGATAACAATCACAAATGTATCTCACCTGTGTCCCTCCTCATACAAGCAGGACACCAGGATCCTCCCCGTGTAGTTACACACCCAGGCCGACAGCACCAGAAGCAAAAGCCCTGTGTACCCAGAATGCACCAGGGCGTAGGGCAGGTCCAGTACAAAAATACCCTGCACACAGAACCAGGGCCATCAATCCACTACAGCCGCTGCGGACACAACACTGTTAAAAGCTTTCAATTACAGAGTTTGTAGCACAGTGATTGACTGGAAATGAAATCAAATTGAGTCAGAATTGACTTCCAGAAATGATTGGAGTGAGACGTAATAGCTGGAGCGAGAGTGGAATCTTTCATAAAGCCAGTGTGAAAAGGACAAAAAGTGGATTTACAGACTCAGTCCTGGATCTACAGCCTGTCCGTCCGTGGGAGAGGATCCCTCTCAATATGGGCCTCCCAGAGGATTCTCACGTTTATATATTTTAACATACAAACAATACTATTATTTTAGAAACTTCCCCTTGTGTGGCCTCCCCCTGGTGTGGCCTAGCAGATTAAGCAACTGTTTTTGAAAACACAGATCTGTCCGAGTTGTGGACGAGGAGTGCTTTGGTGTGAGGGAGTTTGACTGCAGGTGCAGAGGGAGGAGGGATAGAGGGTTGGAGGGATAGAGGGGGGCATGTTTGTATCTTGCTCGGATACAAACATGCTCTTTTAAGTCACCTGCTGCTAAGTGCTGTCTGTTAGGCGAAAGCTGGAGGTTTTTGAAGTCGGAATGAAGCTGGAGGGGATGAACAGCAGTACTAATCCAAGTATCCCCCCTTGCGGACCCTCAGTTTCTGCTGCGTTCTCTCTGTGCTGTTGCCAGAACCAGTTCCACAACCACCACCACAAAGCCAACCACCTTCCACCAAGAAACATGGAAAAGAAACTTCCTCAAATATAATGTTCGTCTTGTTGATTTCTGTTTCAGAATATGGTAATACAACTCTACAAGAAAGAAGACATTTTTTCAATAATAATTTGGAAGTAATATTGAAAAATAAATTGTCCTTTTGTTGTTACCAGATACCATAGAGAAAGAAAGAGACCAGAGATGGAAAAGACAGGGACCAGAGAGAGATAGAGAGAGACCAGAGAGAGACTAATAAGAGAGAGAACATGGTTGAGACCAGAGGGAGAGACTAGAGTATGATCAGAGGGAGAGACTAGAGTTAGATCAGAGAGAGATAGAGAGAAGAGAGAGAGACCAGTGGGAGAGACCAGAGAGTCTAGAGAAAGACCATAGAGAGACCAGAGAGAATATAGATATAGAATATGTGAGATTTTATCTATTTATTTTACTTTTATAACTTGTTTGCACCAAGAGCCAAAACAAATTCCTATGTTGTGACTGCCAGTTAAAGCAGCAGTAAGCAATTTGGTCGTTTTGCAGTTTCTGGGATCAAGCGCACACTAAACTCCTTCAGCAGATCAGAAAATAATCGACCAATCAGGATTGCCGGTGTTACGTCGGGTTTGCACCACCTTCTCAAGCGTGTCTCATGCGGCAGTGAAAGCAATCCAAAATGACGGACATAAAGTCTCTGAATTTTTAAAAAAAGTTTAAAATACGAACGAATTAAGACACGGATGTCACTTTTAGTGCAATATGAGGCAAGATGTTGATGGTTCTATGTTGCTATATGTGTGTTTTAAGAGTCAAATGCTTTACAGCAGCAAGCGCCCCGCGATTACGCACACCCTCTCTGGCAATGCACCACACCCCCTAGCACTAGAAAACCCAAGCGAAATTGGCCCCTGTTTTGAGAAGAAGGAGCTAACTTGCTAGGTTGGCTGCTAACATTTGCATGTATTGATTTGCAAATGTAGGTAATGACTTATAACAGCAGGGGGCTGGGGTGGGCTTTGTTTATTCGTGCGGGGGAGGGAGAGCTGCAAGAGAGTACTACAGTAGTCTGTGAGACCACAGATACACATGTGGACAATGCAGAAGAGATGCCATGGCAGTGCTGTGTACCCTGAGAATGCGCTGTATATATTTTGTAATCAGTTTTTCTCAGTGTCTTTGGTGCATTTTTCTCATAATTCTTCACATTTTAACAACAGTTAGTACATTTCTCAGAACAATGAGTGCAAACTGCAAAACCTCATGGATAACCTGCTAAAAAGTCACTTTCTCAAAATGAACTTAATTCCTCAAAAGAAAGTCTTCATGTCAATGAAACTGTCTGTGTCTCAAAAGAATAAGTCCTGACATCAGTATTTATGAACAACAGTCAAATGATTTAGTCATGTTTTCATTGTGACTGTATTTAGTGATACATATGTATGTACTGTATGTTCACATATTTACTGCTTATGCTCTTTGCAATTCTACAGCATTCTGCAACAAAAATAGTACACATACAGTATTTACGTAGAAAAACAAAAATACAAAAAATCATTACGGTAGAACCTCCACAACATTGAGTCGTGTGTGACATCATCGCTTTGGTCATCACATACAAAACTGTTCAAAACCAAAATCTGTCAAACTAATTTCATACATTACTTTATCTTTTTATATCCAGAAAATCTTTCCTAATTTCGAATTTCAGCTTCACTCATGACGAGGTGTGTGTTTTATTGTTTACATTTGTCACAGTTCTACCATAATGATATTCTGTATGTTTGCTCTATGTATGTGACTGTATTTCTGTTGCACAATGCTGTAGAATTGCAAAGAGCATATGCAGTAAATATGTGAAAGACATACAGTACACAGACATACATCGAAACACATACATGCACAAACACACACACACACAGTAAATACATACATGCACAAACACACACACACACAGTAAATACATACATGCACAAACACACACACACATACAGTACATACAGTATAAATGTTCTTTTACTCTCACTAAATACAGTTGTGTGTAACTTGACTGTAGTTTTCAGCTGTACAGTGCTCACCAAGATCAGATTTTTTGCTTTGAAAACACAGAGTAAAGTGTCACAATGAAAACGTGACGAAGTCATTTGACTGTGTTGTTCATACTCCATGTTGTTAAGACTTATTATTTTGAGACAGACAGTTTCCTCGACATGAAGACTTGCTTTTGAGGAATAAACTTTTCATTTTGAGAAGGTGATGCACTTTTGCAGGTTATCCCCAAGGTTTTGCAGTTTGTACTAATTGTTCTGAGAAATGCACTAACTGTCGTGCAAATGTGAAGAATTATGTGATAAATGCACCAAACACACTGAGAAAAACTGTAAGTAGCATTTATTTTGTAAACAATGTAAATTTATACATTGAATGATGTTGCTCGTTTGTTTTCTTTCAATTCACTTTAGTTAAAAAATAATAATGAAAATAATAAAGTCAGCATGACACTAGATTTAACTCATTTTAACTAATCAGATCCTCCCTCTCCCGAAGAAGACAAAGTAAAGTGGTTGAGCAACTTCAGCTCAGCCTGTGATAATGGCCTTATTTACATAACAAAGTTGGCCGTTCACAGGTGATTTAGTTTGTTAGCTAAAATCCTTGGAGTCATTTGGCACCGTGGTGGGCTTTTTAGGTAGAAGTGCCAAATGGCACCTCCATGGGTTTGCTAGTGCTAGGGAGGACCACCCCACTATTTGAGAAGGATTGGTTTATGTGAAGTATGCAAAGGCGCTTATTAACTCAAGTGATAGTACGCATTTCTGATATTTGTACACTTATGTGCACCCCTGCACATATGGACGTTTATATATTATCCCCAGGGGTCCTGTAGTTTTGAAATATCTTTGTACATTTTGAAAAAATCACTCGAATGAGCCGGGCAAGGTGGATCAAGGCTTTCCCAGAAAAGCGCCCCCTGCAGGCCACTTGAATGAAACTCAAACATCATCAGAAATATCCAACAAAGTGTTAATCTTGCTTGTTTGGACAAATTTCCTCAAAATAAATCAAAAGCAGCCACACAGCTACGGACACACAGCCACGCGCACACACACAGCCACGCGCACACACAGCCACACTTCAGGAGCCCAGGTTGTAGGAACTGGAGTCTTGCTCTAGCAGAGATTTACCTTTGAAACACAATAGAGCAGACATACGTTTTTTCTAATCAAATATGACTTTGATATATTCATCATCAGCAACATCAGTATTTATTGAACACCAGGTACTGGCCCGTATTCACATGATCCTTGTACACATTTATTTGGACTGCGCATTGTGAGAGAAAGGCCCCGTCCACACGTAGCCGGGTATCTGCTAAACCGCAGATATTTTTCTTCGTTTGCACCTGTCATCCACATGACAACGCACCATAAACAAATATTTTTAAAAACTCCGGGCAAAGTGTAGCCTGGTTGTACCACACCTTAGTACAAATTAGATTTCGTACTAAGGTCTGGATTTGCTCCATTGAGCTCCGTGAACAGGTGGGAGTGGTTAACTCCTTTTGCAGATTGAAACGATTGGATCTGAGTTTACCGTGACGTATGTAATGCGCCCGAGTGTGTTGTTCGCATTAGCATTTAGCCTAGCCATCTCCTTTACTGCTAACGGAGCCCGTAGGGAGTAGCGCCACAATCTTGACCAGCGATTACATTTGCTAAACATTCCTCTTGCTCCTGCTTCAATTTCTTGATAGAACCAGACCGGATTACTTTACTATTGCATTCTTCGCCATTGCCAAACTACAACCTGCCCGTTCGGCGCAAACTCTTGACGTCACCGGCACTGACCTACAACACCCGCCTTCCGCGCTCCCTGAGTAGCCGGTCGAAATATGACCGATTGTATTCGCTAACACAGGGACCAGACCCAGACGGTTACATGCGGTGAAATGATGATTGAGCGGAGTGTATGGATGGCTATGGCCAGGCTAGGCAAAGTGGAGATTTTTGAAAACTCCTTTTATGCATTTGCGTGTAGAAAGAGATAACCGGAGTTTTTTCACGTCACAGTCTGCCTCCAAAACAACAACAAACAAAACGTGCAACCTCTGATCACTGAAGAAGGATCTTACTGCCTTAAAAACTGCTGCTGCTGCCAGCGGTTCACAGCAGCGATCATCCTCTACATCAGAGAGCGGCTAAGTGATCACAGAGACTCACGCTCCAAAACAACCAAAACAGGAGCTAAACCAGGATTAAACCAGGGCTGAGGACGGGGCTCAGTGCTTGTAAACATATGTCTTTACCCTGAGTTTCTTCTATGACTGTAAAAGTGCCGCTACAGAAGTACCGGCGTCAGCATCAAAGCCCCGCCCACTTCTGTGTTTTTTCCCCAACGCAGGACGTCAGAGGACTGAAAATGCAGATGTCCGGTTATGTGTGGATGCAAATTGTTTTATAAACGGAGGGGGGTAAATATTCGGTTTTAAAAATACCCGGCTACGTGTGGACATGGCCAAAGAGACACTACACTGGCTTCTTTTGGAGTCGAGTGATTATCTCACTACTCTTTTGGTTGTTATTGCCACAAAATGGGGCATATTTCTACAGCTGGGGATTTTTAACAAGCTAGCTTGATGAAAAACCGCATTACAGTCTAGCCCAGGCAAACATACAGTATGTATAAATACTACTACTACTACTGCCACTACTAAGTAAAATGATGCTCACCCGTTCAGCCGGAGAGAGACAAGTGGGGTTTTACATCCATGATTTCTCCACCGAGCTAGAGGTCGCTGATATATATGCAGCTGCTCACCATGTTGCTCCTTCTTTGTTGTCGTTCCTCCGTTTCTGCCGTTTTAAGTGTATTTAGTCTGCGGCAGCACTGAGGCCAGCTTTGCTTCCTCCGCCATGTTTGTTTTGGAAATTGCACATGCACACAGAGAGAAACCCCCCTTATACAGGTCTCTCTCCTAATTGGATAAAAACTGTAGGATACAAGATTTTTTTTGAATACGGCTCAGAGAAGAGTGGAATTACTGAGAGATCCATGTTTCGGTCCAAACACTCTATATAAGGGATGGCTATTGGATGATATAAATATATAAGACTTATATTGACACACAAAAATCACTTACTTCTGCTTTAATGGCAATTAAAACATTTGGCATCGGTTGTCAGTCTACTGCCTTAGTCCTGGATCTACAGCCTCAGTCCTGGTTCAGATCCCTCTCTCAAGATGGACCTCCCTGAGGTTTCCCACATTTTTCCCAATGGTTTTCTGAGTGTTTAATGCCGATGCAAGAGGGAAGGACAGTTATGATCAGGGAGATTTCTGAACATTTGTTAACATTTCCGCACTGTGGTCATCCTGCTCCCTATGGGCCAATAAGATAAGATAAGATAAGATAAGATAAGATTGCTTTATTTATCTCACAGAGGAGAAATTTACATGTCACATTTGGCATGGATAGACACTCAGATTGTGCAAAGGGAGGAAATGTGCAAACATGTTACATGCAGGATATATGTACAATAAAGTGACAATAATTATGTACAACAAAAGTGACAAGTGTCAATTGGAAACAGTGTCAATAGTAGTGCAGGTTTTCACACAGTGATCATTTAAAGTGACTTATTGTACAGTCTGACAGCGGTGGGGATAAAGGCCCTGCGGTAGCGCTCCTTCCTACACTGAGGGTGCCTCAGTCTTCCACTGAAGGAGCTCCTCAGCTCCTCTACAGTCCTGTGCAGTGGGTGGAGGTATTGTTCATGATGGAGGTGGCTTTGGCTAGCACCCTCCTGTCCCTCACCTCCTCCACAGAGTCCAGGGAGCAGCCCAGAGTGGAGCTGGCCCTCCTGACCAGCTTGTTCAGTCTGTTTCTGTCCCGCTCTGTGCTGCCCGGGGCCCAGCACACGGCAGCGTAGTAAATGGCAGAAGCTACCACAGAGTCATAAAAAGTCCTGAGCAGAGGCCTGCTCACTCCGAAGGACCTCAGCCTCCTCAGAAGGAAGAGGCGACTTTGGCCCTTCTTGAGCAGGGCGTTTGTATTATGGGACCAGTCCAGTTTATTGTTAATGTGAACACCCAGGTACTTGAAGCTGTCCACCAGCTCAATGTCCTCCCCCTGGATGTTCAGCAGCGTGTGGGAAAGTGGTTTTCTCCTGAAGTCGATGACCATCTCCTTGGTCTTACTGGTGTTCAAGCACAAGTGGTTGCGCTCACACCAGTCGACAAAGTCCTTGATAACCGACCAATATTCCAGTTCGTTCCCCTCAGACACACAGCCCACGATGGCGGAGTCGTCGGAGAACTTCTGAAGGTGACAGCTGTGTGTGTCGTGTGTGAAGTCTGCGGTGTAGATGGTGAAGAGAAACGGTGAGAGGACAGTGCCCTGAGGGGCCCCAGTGCTGCAGACGAAATGGCTCTTGTGTGTTTTTGCATTTTCTGTGTTTGAACTATTTGATTCTCTGATCTGATTGGATAATTTCAAAACGTCCTCAGAGGTGACTATTGTTGTCATTAAGGGCGATACGTTGAATTGAATTGGTTACAAATGTTGCTTATTCTGATTCAGAAATCTGTAAAAATCTCCACTCAACATTTATTTTAATTAAAAATATTTTATGATTATTTCCCATTTGTCTCAAATATGCAGACATTGTGAATACTTTCCCTAAAACCAAACTCTTACAAATTTGTGATTTTCCAGGCTTCTTCACAATATTCCCATGTTCTGTTTTGAGCCATGTAGCTGTTTTTCATATTTCTGGCAGCAGTTCAGTGTCTAATAAAAAGTTGATTTTTCTGGCACACACTCGCGGATATTGGCATCAAAAAACCAAAAGAGAAAAATAAACTTTACAGACATGAAGAAGATGAAGACTCCACACAGTCCTTCCTCAAATGAACAACATCAGGGATGAGCCTGAGCTGAGGATCAGGGAGTTCTGTCGTCTTCACCATAGTTCTTGAATAAAAATACTAATATACATATATGCACGATCTTCCTCTGTGTAGGCCAGGGGTGCTCACACTTTTTCAGCATGCGAGCTACTTATAAAAGGATCAAGTCAAAATGATCTACCTACTACAAAAATGCAAATCATATATTTATTTCAAAAAATATTCTTTATACCTACAATGTATGTTTATGTACATGCAAAACCGCATGGGCCAATATAGCACAACACAACACAATTACCTATGTACATTTTTTGTCATTACCCGAGTTTACTCTGATGACTTGCACTGAATTGAATCGGCCAGGGATGCATAGTCCGGAAAATTGGTGGTAACTCGCTGACAAGTTTGTTGTGGTTTAGCTTTCCTGCACTGAGCGCGGTTGTTTGCGCATGTGCAGTCACCTAAGTGTCAGTAAAACATTACTGAGTAAAACACAGATGTCATTTGACTGTGGTGCCATGTCCATGTGCCATGCCTGTTTTTTTTAAATCCAAATATTTCCCCTTCTCCGTTTATAAAATAATTTGCATCCACACATCTGCGTTATCAATCACATTTGTAACATTCCAAACACGTGTGTCTCTTACGTCCTGTCCTGCGTTGGGGAAAAACACAGAAGTGGGCAGAGCTTTGATGCAGACGCCGGTAACGGCACTTTTACAGTCATAGAAGACACTCAGAGTAAAGACGTATGTTTACAAGCACTGACCCCGTCCTCGGCCCTGGTTTTGTCCTGGTTTAGTCCTGGTTTAGTCCTGGTTTGGTTGTTTTCGAGCGTGAGTCCCCGCGATCACTTTGCTGCTCTCTGATGTGGAGCGAGGATGTTCGCTGCTGCGAGCATCTCACAGCGAACAGTTTTTAAGGTAGTATGATCCATGCTTCAGTGATCAGAGGAATTTAGGGGGGTACTGTGGCGTGCGAGAACGCAAAACTCCGGTTATCTCTGTCTACACACAAATGCATTAACGGAGTTTTCAAAAATCTCCACTTTGCCCGGAGTTTTTTGTATATATTCGTTTAGAATGTGTAATTTTTTATTTATTTAATGCGATCTACCAATACTACCTTTGCAATCGACTGGTAGATCGCGATCGACGTATTGAGCACCCCTGGTGTAGGCTATGACTATGTTGTTCAGTCTCAGTAATAATAATAATAATGCATCGGTTTGATATAGTGCTTTTCTGGACACTCTGAGACGCTTCACAGGTTATTCATGTGGAGTACATGAATAACCTGTGAAGCGTCTCAGAGTGTCCAGAAAAGCACTATATCAAACCGATGCATTATACAGAGGTGATAAAGTACTATTGTGGCCACAGCTGCCCTGGGACACACTGACAGAAGCGAGGCCACCAATGTTCCATTGACCCACCCACCACCAACCATTCACACACACACACCAGACTCATTGGCCCTCATTAATGAAAGTTGCGCAAAAAACTGTGTATATTTTTAGGTGTATATTCCTTTTACCACAGAGCAGGATCACAAAGGGCTTCACATTAAAAATAAAAATACGGATGAAAAAAATATACACAAGTCAGATTTAAAAACGAAGAAACAGAAAAGGGTCCTCATCATGAACGTATCATGATCTGTGATTTATTCGAAATGTGCGTGTTTCAAGAGTGTTAGAGTTTTTTAGATGCGCAAATTCAAATTTTGAAACAAAACGCAGTTTATAGTTTTGCCAGAGTGGGAATATGTTTATTGTTGTCCAAATCTTGCATTTCATGCGTGTTTTGGCGTGTTGTAATGAAGGTTGAAAAGAGCGTACACATTTACACACCACCTCCTGACTTGGTGTAAATTCTGTGCATACAGTAGGCTCATGTCCAGATTGATAAATGCCGAAAAGTGTAAATTTTTTGCGTACGCCTCATTTACACCATAATTTGGCCGTACGCAAGTTTCATACATGAGGCCCATAGCGAACTATCTAAATGACGTCACTAAGACACGCCCCCGCCGCCTGTCAACTCCCGCCCACATGTTTCGGACAAACACTGCAAAATTCCACCATCAAACCATCAGGAATCATAGTGTAGACCAATTAAAACGTTGGCTTGAATGTCGTGGTCAGTAACTGGTAGAAAGTTTGAATTGATAAAAAGGTAATGGTGAGGATTATACTAACATTATCTTGTCATTTAAATTGCAATGCTAGCGCCTTCTTTGTTTATTTTGCTGTGATTAACTTCCATTTATCAAGTTGTTTTTTGTACTGTCCACTTTGTAATTAGTTTGATCATTAGTTAGCTACAGTCAGCCGATATTATAATAGATCCATGGGGTCACAACGGGCTACGCCACTACTGTCTCTGAGAGAGAAACTATCGGAGCTAGCCACACTCAATAAACGCAAATGACAATCAATCAACACATTTAATTGTTAATGGGAGAATATATTATACATACATTCGTAACACACGTGCACGGAAGCTTTCAGAATTATCTGTTAAGGTTTTCATGACAAAAATACTTTTTTAATGCGACTGAAGCGATCGCTTTTTTGAAGTAGGTTAACTAGCCTCACTGTTACTCGCCTGCCACGGGAAAACCTTTGAACTACTTTCTTTGCACTCATTAAATAAACCTATTGGCATTAATAAAAGTGACTAAAGTTAATTTTGTGTGTTCAGTTGGTACAAAGTCGTATAATAAGCGGACCCCGACACGCTTCGTCTGTACTTATTTTCCGATAGTCACGAAGTTGAAAAAATCCCTCTCATCTTTCTTCAGGTGTGAGAATTGTATACTTTCTGGATTAGGACAAACAATACTAATATGGATTGACGGGGTAAATTGTATAAAGAGAAAGTTTGTGCTAACTACATTCAGAAGAGCTC